CATAGAAATCGATCGATATTTTTGATGAATGTGTATATGTACGTAAATTCGTCGGTAACTACCGATGGGTTATACTGCCATTGAAATATTACTGACGGGACTTTTACCTTCAATATGTATCGTTGAAAAATTTCTATCGGTAAATATTTGTGGTGATAAAAATTATGTCTGGAATATCCATGTCATGCCCTTATTCATCTGGAGCAACTACTTACGTTAAATTATTTAACCCAACATGGTTTCTTTCCACTACCAAGTCTGCTTTGATGACTATTGGTAATTCTGTTTGTCGGTGCTAAACTTTTAAATGTGTTTTTTCATTTAATTGCAATTTGGACGTTAACTTATTAATACTGAATTTAAAGTAGTATATCATTATAAGAGAGAAAGATATATAAACACTTGAAAGGGTAATATACAAAATAACCTCAAGACAATAAAACAAGTCTTACCTTCTTAAGAAAGGCTCACTTAAACATGCTCTAGTTAGCCTCTCAAATTCAAAGTACTTGATCAAAACTAGAATTTTTGCAATAAATTTCTTTAGAATTTGAACCAAATTTGAAGATTAAGAGGGACATAATTCAACCATTTCTTCTCTTTGTTTTTATTTTTTTAGCTTCCCTAATGAGTATAAATACGAGCATGAATGGTGAATTTGCATATGGATCGGGTCGTATTGATCTATTGAAGGCTAAATGTCCTGGTTTGGTATTAATATACTACCAAATGATTATGTTAAATTCGTATGTGAGGAAGGTTATAGCATTAAGAACCTAACACTTATTATTGGAGATAACATCATTTGCACTCAACATAACAATGATATAGTTTGGGACCTAAACTATCCTTCATTTTCATTAATTGCCAAGTTCGGTGGTTTTGTCACCTATGTCTTCTATCGGACAGTCACAAATGTTGATTCGCTACTGTTCACTCTCATGCGACCTCAGTGGCGCCAACCAAAATTAATATTAATGTTTTGCCGTCCATTCTTTCGTAATGCCACATTGACTTCGAGAAGGTTGTCGGCGTTTTGATGTGGAATGATGGAATGTTTCAAGTAAGGAATCCCACTGTTGTCTATGCTACCTAAAATTTCTTGTGTGATTTTAACGTTTATTGATGAAAATTGCACGTCAAGAATTTCATCGATTATATGGTGAATTATTGTCAAAATATCGTAGTGATTTGTATGTCTTTGAATGATGCATAATCTATACAAGATATCTTTAACTGAACTAGCAATGGCAATTTTGTCTGTAATTTTCATTGAACTAAGTCATCACTAAAATTGTTACTAATATTTGTCATAGAAATCGATCGATATTTTTGATGAATGTGTATATGTACGTAAATTCGTCGGTAACTACCGATGGGTTATACTGCCATTGAAATATTACTGACGGGACTTTTACCTTCAATATGTATCGTTGAAAAATTTCTATCGGTAAATATTTGTGGTGATAAAAATTATGTCTGGAATATCCATGTCATGCCCTTATTCATCTGGAGCAACTACTTACGTTAAATTATTTAACCCAACATGGTTTCTTTCCACTACCAAGTCCGCTTTGATGACTATTGGTAATTCTGTTTGTCGGTGCTAAACTTTTAAATGTGTTTTTTCATTTAATTGCAATTTGGACGGACACGAATGGCGAATTTGCATATGGATCGGGTCGTATCGATCTAATGAAAGGTAAAAGTCCTGATTTGATGTCAATATACGACCAACTGACGTCGTACATCACGCTGTCCATTTGTCCCAAGTAACATATCAATTTTAAATAGGGATAATAGCATATTTGGTCCTTGATCTTTCAAAAAATTTATGTATCCCTAACCTTTAAAAATAGCATCAGAAATCCCCAAATTTGAAAAAATAGGCATGTTTCTTTCACATTGATAGAACCCTCCATATAAGTGAACGAAAAATGAAAAGGGAGCCATATGAAAATGTAAAGGAGAAATTGAGCCATATGAAAATGTAAAGGAGAAATTGCGGTTAAGGCCCTAAACATTTTCAAAAAAGCAAATCATCCCACTTTTGAAAACTTTTAAGTAGGGGAAAATCATCTATCTACATATTCCCGCTCAAGTAATGGGTGATTATATTCACACCATATGTGTGTGTGTATAAGTAGATTTTTTTTATTTTTTATTTATAAATATACCACATTTTAATTATATTAAAGATCATGAACATTTATTAATTATCAAACTTATGTCTTTAATTTTTTTTCTTTATCATGTTTTTATTTTTAACATTTCATTAATCAAAAAATCTTATTCTTAATCATGATTTTCGTCAAAAAAAATATTGTTAACATGCTTTAAAATGAGATTCAAATATTTAATCCATTTTTACAGTATTGTCTATTTTGCTTATTAAAAATGCAATGAACAAATGAGTTTTTACAATTATGTTAATTTGAGAATAAGTATTCTTTATCATCTCCAACATCCATCCCACCACTATAAAACTACCCCGAAATCCACAACCGAAATCACCATCACCGCATGTTGCACTAAAAACTAGCATTGCCTCGTGTCACATCCGAAACATTGCTCGTTGCCATCAAAAAAAGAAAAAGAAAAAAAGGAAACAAAAAACAATCAATTGCTACCATTCCATAAAACATCACACCCTGCATAATCACATAAAAAATCAATTGCCACTATTCCATAAAACAATTATGCCCAACCTATAATCACATTGAGATTTAGCCCCAGTTTGGTACCAATTAAAATTTTAATTTTAATTTAAGTCAAAGTCAACATTTCATTTCAACCATATATTTTATGGGTTCCACAACTTTTCAACCATACATTTCATCAACTTCTATCGAAATCTATACAAAATCTAATTTTAATCTTCACCATCTCCTTAGTTTTGGATCTTCAAGAATAAAATATTTCAGCAATTTCTTCTCCGAACGGTTCAAATACGACCTCTCAACAAAAGGAAGAATCAGTTTGTTAGATGTTTTACTGTTTAATTTTTCGAAAGCAGACAACATTTCGAAGTAAAACTTTAAGGATATAACATAAACTGTCTAGAAGCTTTTGTTTTAAAGTTTGAATTGAGAATAAAAAAGTTATTTTGAGAGAACTTCTTATCCGTATATTTATTGCCACAAACGAGGGCTGAAAAGTGTGGTCGAGGATAGATGGATTTTACAGTAATGGTAAACTTGGGAGAGGAAATTGACATTAGATTTAAAGTCTTCAAATCGCGAGTTGTAGTGGTGTTCATGGCGGGAGGTAATGGCTTCTTGGAGAGGTATAAAGAGGTGACTATTGACAACTAAAAATGAGATGACAAATTTTGATCAACTAAATATGATATCTGTAGAGTAATTGTTGGATTTTATTAAAATAAAAATGCTAATTTTGATTGATTGAATTTGGAAGTAGAAAAGAGAGACTCAATGAGCTCGGCCTTTTGGAGGATACCATTTGTCCCATTTAAAGGCATTTACAACGAATAATTTGGTTGACCTGAAAGTGCGTGTCACCATCCACATTTGAGGTTGAATTACTCCTGGTGTACAATTAGGGGTTCATAGACCCCTTATTGACTATTCACACCAGGTGGGTCCCACATGTATAAAAATTATCCAAAAATACCCATCCCTCCCTTGTTGTGAGTAGTCGGTACACTAAGAAATATTCTTTGAGGTTTATTGGTTATAGAGATTGGCAATGTATGTCATCATACTATCTAGGTCGTAATTTTGGTTTAGGTTATGATTACGTGTCATCTAGGTAATTATTGCTTATTTCTAATTGGTGGGACATGAAGTGATGACGTCCAAAATACCACTTGTTGCTTTGAAGTGTGATCATCTAAGTGATCACTACATCATTTGTGAGATGTGTTCATGATTCCAATGATGATGTTAATTGATGACAACGATAATGGGCCGAGATTATATGACGATTTTCATAGTCTATTCTCTTTGAGATAGTTAACATCTTTTATAAGCTCTCCTTCTTAAATTATAGTAGATTCTAGGTGATTGTGAGTTCGAATACCAATAATGACCAATGGTTGATTGGTGATGGGAATTTGGTTTAGTTGGATGGCGGGGACGGTGTGGAGATGGGTGGGTTTGGGGCAAGATTGACATTTTCATTTGTTTAATTATTCTTTTACTTTAAATGATTTTTCATTTTTTAGTGGGTGGTGGTGGCACTAGGTTGAAGAAACTATTTCTTTTTTATTTTTTAAATTCTTTTATTTTTCTTTTGTTGTAAATCTACTTTTAATTGTTTATAGTGAAATTTATTTGGATTTTTGAAAATGTTTTGGACATACATTGCAATTTTTCCTTTAGATTTTCATTTTGAATGTTTTTATATTATTATTATTATTATTATTATTATTTTTTGGGTTCATCTAAATGGGAGGACAATTTTGTCAGTTAAATTATCTTAAAATGTCAAATTGTATGGATTCTGTCAACAGGGACGAGTCATGCATAATTTTTCAAACGTCGGCATGTGAGGTGCTATTTTTAAAGGTTAGAGATATATCTACAAGTTTTTGAAAGTTTGGGGGACCAAATATGTTATCATCCCTTTTAAATAGCAACCGGCTTTCGTAAACTCTACTTGTAAGTGTCAAATTACAGTTTTAATATGTTTTGGCACTACCTCTTCACAATCTTAGTTAACCAATTATTCGTAGGACTATTGTCCAATGATCTGCTGTTATGTTGTACGTGAAAATATTAGTAGTTTACAAGGAGAGTAAAAGGGGCTTAAGTGCATTTTGCAGCTTATCTCGAGACAATAAACTACTAGATGAAAGGATAATTGTTAAAGATATATTTATCAATAGGCCTAGCGTGTTATGGTGGCACTTCTTCATTTATTTAAAATTGGAGTACGTTGATTTGACTTCAAAAATAATGTGAGTTTTTTCCTTTTACATTCACATAAAATTACAAAACATAATCATGAAAACTTTCGTCAAATGCTCTAAAAAAGAATTGTGTCAATTTAAAGATCTTTTTCAATTATGTATAAATTATGCCGAATTATCATATGGAGCACAAAAATACTTGGTCCAAATTGTTTTTTCTCATTGGTACAATAAGACTTTTTTGTAGGCACGTGTTACACTCTTTGTCTTTACATCAACTTTGATACGTAGTTGGCGGAGACCTTTTACTTCCCCATGGCAAAAACGTGGAGCAGCCGTGATTGATTGTTGTTCTATTTTGAAACTCGTCACATTTTTAAGAGTAATATTATTTATTATATAATGTGACATTGATTAATAAAATTTTATCATTGTATTTTACTGAGTACAAAGACATATTTAACCATTGCATTTTTAAATAAGCAAAACAAATAATGCTGTAAAAATGAGATTAAATATTTTACCCCCATTTTTAAAACATGTTGAGGAGGCTTGGCAACTGCCTTTCCATTTGCTTGGAGGAGGACCACCCTTCATCACTGAAACTCTCTGATTTAGGCCAAATCCCAGTGTCTAACATTCCACAATAATGTCGCTCTCAACTTTTGTTCTTTCAATGTCTTCAGTGAATCCCATGAAGTCTCATGATCTCGTTGTGTGGAGCTGCTTTTTGGTGTTAGGGAATATAGACACTACTGTGTCCATGCCTAAGTACGTATTAAATATATGTATCGCAAAAGCTTCAATGACTTTGTTGCCAAGATGACTGAGGAAGAGAAAGAGACAATTGCTAGTATGTCAAATATGAATCAATTAAAATGTAAATTGCAGCACACGTGAGTCCAATTTCCCTTGCTTCTAATCTAATGTACATATATTTAATACGTACTTAGGCATGGACACAGTAGTGTCTGTATTCCCTAACACCAAAAAGCAGCTCCACACAACAAGATCATGGGACTTCATGGGATTCCTTGAAGACGTTGAAAGAACAAAAATTGAGAGCGACGTTATTTTTGGAATGTTAGACACCGGAATTTGGCCTGAATCGGAGAGTTTCAGTGATGAAGGGTTTGGTCCTCCTCCAAGCAAATGGAAAGGCAGTTGCCAAGCCTTCTCAAATTTCACTTGCAACAAGTAAGCTGCCATGTATACAATGAATACCTGCATCAGCATGTCGAAATTTACAAGAAGAAAAGAAATCTGAACATGGATTAAAACACTCAGATGTTTCATTATAAACACAAATTTCATACCTTTTCATTGGCATCGGATGCTGCATTGCAGCTAACCAGAAGAGTGCTTATCAGAGTTATGAAGAGAAGAGAAGAGAAGTTTGGGAACCATGGGAAGGATTACTGAAAGTTTGATTACTCTCACATGTAATTGAAGAATTTATAGAGGGGAATTCTGCAGTGGACACATCAAAGGAAACTTGATTCCAAATTCTTCTCAAATGTTTTGTTTGCCAAAATATTGCATATTAAAATAATTTTATTAATTACAGTAAGAATAGAGCAATTAATATAAAATTCCGGGAAATAATAAAAGAGCGAATGAACTTTCAACCAAGGCCCGTGTAAATATAATTTCTTTAAAACAAATTCGCTTCCTCACCGAAAGTGCTCGTGGTTTAGCTTGAGCGTCTATTTCCTATGATACAATGGAAACTAGTAGAGTCTAAGCACTGCAGATACTATTTCGACAAACTGGCTTAGTATTTGAACATTATTACGAAGACCTTGATAGAAAGTAAAATTATGTATGTAGAGAAGAGAGATTTTCATGTGTCTACGTGTGTGCAAGTTGCGCCTGCACACAAGTTCAATGTCCAAAATGTATTTCGGTCCATTATTTGCACCCCTGCGCCAGCACGTAGAGAGAGTTTTTATACTACAGATGATTACACTCTTCCAAGGTGTGATCATATTTAAAGTGGTCATTGACTTTATCTATTTTCCTACGTGGAATAAATTTAAAATAGTTCCCTTCCAATACAAAAATCTCTTCCAATACATTACTTTGAGCTCCAATTTCTCATTTACTCCAGTATCATTTTTGGCAAGTAAATATATTATTTCGATGTTCTCACGGAGGAGAACACAAGTCAATCTTGATCTTCTAAAATAAACAAACCGATCCCGCTATGTCAGCCTTACATTTACCTTTTGAATCAACTTTACCTGATATGAAATTAACTTATAATGTAAGGTTTCGTTAGGATTACGTTTGATCTATTGCTATCCATATATAATTAACTTTATATATTTAGCGATGGTAGGCTCAGTAATTCAACATTTTATTAATTATTTTAAGTTTCAATCAACATCATATACAAGGTTAGAAACTCAATGGGCCTATAAACTCTCATGCTTTAATTTTCAGTTAACTTCATATATACATGGCTGATTGACATACCATGATGGAAATGCTTAAGATGTTTTTGTAAACTTCTCTATCTAGGAATCTAATCAATCAATTTTTTATTTTATTTTTTGATAATTAGTTCAAAATTATTTATCACTAAGTTCAATGTTTATACACGATGCTACTTAAAAATAAATAATTTATTAAGAAAACAGTTTCAGAGAGAGCCCTCTAGTTAAAATATGAATTTGATTTTAGTACGATTCATCTGTCAAACAATAATATATGACTAAATTGCTAGATAGATGATCATAATTTATTGATAGATATCTTACAATTTATTATCATATTGAACGTAACCTCTAAGTAGGATCGGATCTACTTTTATGTGAATTCTAATCAATTTGAGGCATAATATCTTCATCTTTCATTTCACGTATGCTTAATTGATAGCAAGAACATGTTCCGAAGCAACCCCATTCTGCACATGCCTCCATCAGCTTCGACAGTTGCCCAGGAAAATCTGTTGGTGTTTATCTGTGATTAACTTCGACTATAAATATAAATGTTAGATGGTTGGCAAAATAATTATAGTTGCAATTTGGTCAGGTGATTCGTGTAAATAGAACAAAAAGCTATCTAAATGTTAATTACCTGAAGTTGAGATTCAAGATATTCAAGGATAGTAGCCCCCATTTAGCTTCCTTTTTCTTTAATTTTTTTTCTTTTCACTATTATTTTTAACTACACAATCTTCCATAAAAATAATATTACATATAAATTGAAAATTTTTCTTTCTTTTTCAATGAAACATTCTCCAAAAAAATCATTATTCCAAACATTAAAATTTGAAAGAAAGAGGGCCAAACGAAAAGGAATAATTCCTCGAATACCACCCCCATCAACATCAGATTTCCAGAAGTAGCGGAATAATTCCTCTAATACACGCCACTGGCTTCCTTGAGGTGGCTTTTTGCTGGGAATTTCAACTTTGTTGTATGACACGGTTTTGGACTTTCTCTTTTTATAGGCAACTTCTTCTCCTATGCAAGAAACGTGTTAGTAAATCCAAATTCATTAATAGAATGCTTTTTCGATCCTAGCGCAGACAGGATTCCACTATGATCTCACAGTGTTTGTTTTTGTTCCTTTACCCATGTGCAGGAAAGAGCGGAAGGAAATATTTTTTGTCATCTTTTATTCTCGAGCCTCATGCGCATGTGAGTGTCTATCAAGGATTGTGTCAAACTCTTTTTGACAACTCAACATTTTATTTTTGGACCGTGCTACAAAACCATAGAGGATGACACTTCGGTTGACATATCACACACACATGGAGAGGTCGAGATTATTTTATTCATGGGGACCCACACCTCGATTGTGAGTGCTATGTCACTCATTGTGTCAAAGCCTATGTTCGTTTGGCTTAATTCTTTATTTTTTGGCATATCAAGTCATAATTCCTTGCATTTAATTTAACCTATAATTTAATGTCAATTAATTTATGTGATTCTGAATAATGGTACTAAATATATACACGATAAATAGATAATATTTCAAATTTTTGTTTAAGCTAGTTTTTTAATTAGCATATAGTGTTAGAGATATGCTAAAGCTTTCTATTGCTTACTGTGTATAGTTAAATTACATTATTTAAAAGTTTTTATTATTAATAAGGAAATGGATTTATTTTTTCGATGAGAAGCTATCAAAATGCATCTTGAGTGGAGTGTATCTTACATGTTGCCTCTGGGTTTGTTTACATTTTATATACTATGTTTTACAAAACGGTAACAAAAAAACATTTTTTCTAAAAAGATATACAATCATGCTACATAACCGAAGTAAGTGATAGAATTTCACTTTCAGACAACACTTAGAATTTCATTTTCATACAATACTTGGCAGATTCTTGAAAGATGAAATATTGTCAGCATTATTGAAAGATGTAAATATTGTCAGCATAAATAACTGAAAAGACAAAACAGCCCCTTATTAAAATAACAAAACATCCTATGTATTTCATATTAATGTAGCATTATACATGCCAACTACTTTCTCATTTTCGAACTTTTAAATGTATAAGCCTTGATTTTTATTAAATGCATTTTCTTTAAAAATTATTTTCTTTTTTTTTTTCTTCATAAACAACTCCATTCAAATTTTAGTTCCAGCATTATGAAATGGATAAATGAAGTTTTTTGTTGTGAACTTCAGATTAATAAGTTTTGTTTTATGAATGAAGATTTAAGTATAAAAAAAAGATATTATCTATTATTTCTGATGAAATGTATGCATAATTTCTTGGTTTCCGGTGTGAATGGTCTTTTTATCTTTTTCGAAAGGATAAAATAGAACAAAAAGCTATCTAAATGTTAATTACCTGAAGTTGAGATTCAAGATATTCAAGGATAGTAGTCCCTCGTTTGGCCTCCTTTTCTTTAAATTTTTTTCTTCTCATTATTATTTTCAACCACACAATCTTTCATAAAATAATATTAAACATAAATCGAAAATTTTTCCTTCTTTTTCAACCAAACATTTTCGAAACAACACTATTTCAAACATTAAAATTTAAAAGAAAGAGGGCCGAACGGAAAGGAATAATTCCTCGAATCCCATCAATATCAGATTTCCATAAGTAGCAGAAATAATTCCTCTAATACACTCCACTGGCTTGCTGGAGGTGACTTTTTGCTGGGAATCTCAACTCTGTTGTATGATGCTGTTTTGGACTTCTCTTTTATAGGCAACTTCTTTTTCTATGCAAGAAACGGGTTCGTAAATCCAAATTCATTAATAGAATGCATTTTGGATCCTAGCACAGAAAGTATTCCTCTATGTATCTCAGTGTGTGCTTTTTTCCTCTACCCATGTGCCGGTGCCGGAAAGAGTGGGCTTTTTGTCATCTTTTATTCACGGGCCTTACACGCTTGTGAGTGCCTGTCTAGGATTGTGTCAAACTCTTTCTAACAACTCAACATTTTATTTTTTGGCATATCAAGTCATAATTCATTGCATTTAATTTAACCTATAATTTAATGTCATCAATATTGTCACTTAGACGGGTATTAAACACCAATAGTATTAAATAGTATTATTCTATTGTAATCAAATTATTGAAGTAGTTTGTGTTACAAAGAAGATATAAATTTTTAAATAATT